TGATATTTGATCATGACATGCAGAAAATGAATTTATTACTGATTTTAGCAATAACCAATTGTCTTGGAACCATCATAATACATTTTTAAGAAATAATCATATCAAGAGGCTGTTTACCCCTTTCCCTCAGCAATAATATTATTAGTTCTGTAAATGAACTGTGTCCTTAAAGGTTTTGTCACTTGGTATAATTTACAGTTCAAAACACAGCAGGTCACTGGTCAGTGAAAAGAATAATAGAAATGATATGATTCATATTTTGGCTGCCACTGTGTAGGTAGTGATTTGTGAATTTCAAAATATAGATTCTATTTTCATACATTTCATGAAACAAAAAAAGTACATGGACATAAAGTGATTTTAGCTTCAGGCAATAACAATTATAAAGTCTCATAAACATAATATTATTACCTGAACACTGAGTGAGTGAAATCCTTTTCGATTCAAATAATCAACTTCATTCCTTGAGGGTGCTAGAATGCGAATGAAGGTTCCATCTAAGCAGCCAAGAACATTGGGGAATCCTGAAAAATTATATTATATGTCATTTTTCAGATTTATTAATGATAAATTATTATGTTATTATCAGGAATATATTGTCAATTTTAACTAACATTATGTCAAAATTTTTGAGTTGGCTGTTATAGTAATTATCCTTGATTATATTTTATAAAATTTGATTTTTTTAACGCTTGAAGGCGTTTATTTTTATGCATTTTACAAAAGGTATTGGAAGATTTAAAGTGTATATCTTAAATATGTTAAATGTAATTTTTATTGGAAGTTTTCGTCAGAATATCAGGATTTATGTCATGATGATATCTGTTCGTTTTAGAAAGGGAAAGGTTTTTTTATATAGAAATGACAAGAATTAGAGTAGCTCCCCCTTATTTGACCGTGACATTGTGACAATTTTGAAGAACATTTTCTTGATCTTGTCTGCATCTTGTCCAGTTGGCATACATACAAAATGCCGGAGATGTTCGATCAGACAAGAGCATACATCTCTGACTGACCGAAACACCGAAGAAGTTGAAATAACCGAATATGAATCGGCGATCAAAGAATAAAAAGATCCAGTGGCCAGGAAACGCAGGGCGACAAGTACCTGCGTTAAAACAGGTAATTGGCTGCATCGTTGGAGCACCGTTCAAGTTTCTCACAAACAAGGGAAACAATAAATAAAATTATATGCTCCCCGCACGGAAACGGAACCTCATAAATAACTCCTCGGGTTACATGAACTCGAGAGGATTTTGTCTATCGTCTAATCTTGATTTTTGATTTTGCCTACGACGTCTACGCCTATTCAACACCGCCATTTTATGACCGACAAAAAACACCTTAAGTTACCTTCCTACCTAACTCAAATTGTAAACTCAGTTTGAGTTCAAAATCGAACTCAGTGTTTGGTTCGAGAAATGCTTTTTGCTGAGTTTTCTCAAATGTGACTAAAAACTCAGACGTATGTCAGTTTTTGAACTTAAGTTTGTTTCGAGACATGCCTATAGTGCTTGGGACTTATTACTTTGATCTTTGTCTCCCCCCCCCCCCCCCCCCCCCCCCCACACACACACACACACACACACACCACACATTTACCCAGTGCCCTTACCTATTACTTAGCTATGATTACTTAAGTGTTGGCTTCCATTGTCTATTGCTAATCACCTTATCTGTTGGCTTCCTTTGTTAGCTTGTACCCTTTGTTAGTTTCCACCTTTTGTTATCTTATTAATTTTGTTGTCCTGACATGTACATATATATGCTATCTGCCTCATGGCAATCATTCACCTGATGAAGGAGTAAGCATATACTCCGAAACGTTGTGTTCCTCATAATAAAGAAGTTGACATCCATATATTCTCTTCCCTAACATTAAGAACGCGCCACAGCTTTAACCTTAGAAATATCGTTAATTGGGATAGTTAGCCACATAACCATCGAGCCGATAGCTAAAAGTACTATTTCCACCCGACTCAGTATGTAAGAAGAGTGAAACAACATACCTTTTCGCTAATCACGGGAAGGATAAAAACCTAAGTATTAGTCTGCAAGCGATTTGTAACGTCCGTGACCTTTTGGAGAAATCAAGGGCAGCTAATCTTAGTTCATACTCTAAAGGGAGTGGTTTCCCTTTGTATAAGCCCGTAGAGTACAATCTACCTTGTCAAGTGTAGAATCGCTGAGCTCCTCTATAAGTCTTTTGGAGCACATTCGTTTAAGTTATTTTGTCTTTCGTTTATCATTAAATTCATCTACAAATAAATACAAGTTGAAGAGCAAAACCATACATTTTTTAATCTAAAATCGAGTTGGACGGGTTTTAATATCTGAATTTAAAAGAAATAAAATACACGTATTCATCAAACAAGCAAATACACATGATGAGACATTTGAAATTTTTGTGAAATATCCCGTAAATAGCATGCGTAAATATCACACTTTTAAAAAATAATTATCAATATAATTAATACCCAGTGAATGCATGTTAAACAAATCACGAAAGTATTAATGCCGACAAAAATATATGCTATCATTCCACTAATCGTTTCCTTCAAATAATTGGGACCTTTCTTAAAACTGTGCAAGATGCGATGGGGGGAGGGAGGTACATGTTTTTTTATCGATACCGGTTCAACTTACTGTATGCGCAGCAGGTTATGCGTGTCTGCAGACAATTGTAGACAAAAGTCGAGTTTAAGATAATCGTATCTCCACCGTTGAAGATTTCGAACTTAGCTAAGATCGCGATCTTAAATCCAAACCGTCTTACAATCGCCCCGGGATCAGTTGGTGCAAGTGGAATAGGACAGTTGTATGGTGATTGTAAAGTGGATTGTAGGCGCCTAAGATCAATTGTAACTAAGATTGTTCTGTGCAAGTGGGCCGAGAAATGGGCTCCACACATTGTTCTCATGACAGGAATAGAACCCGGGTCTTTGGCGTGACCCTGTTGCCACTAGCCTACTCCACTACGCCCTTCCCCTGGGACTGAGGCCGGAAAACAAAGGCATCTCCAAATGCAGGAGGAAACTTTAGTAGGCATGGTGTGAAAGGAAGATGCAAACGTTTGTATAAAATATTTCTTCTCCGACAAATAAACAACCAGGCTGCCCAAATTGTTATTGATTTTGCTCCAGCAAAGTGGCAGGGAAAAAACACTACAAGGTATATATGATTATATTGGAAGCTTGTTTGGTCGATATGTGGGTAAACAGCTGGAGAAACGTATGGATTTGTGTTTCCTTTTTCGTTCATACCTACAAACACAGGTGCTACTTCTATTTTTATTCAATCCCTGAGAATGTACTTGATGAGAGTCTGTTGTATATCCCTGTGTTCATTCCGGGTGAGACGACGCCACCAGCACCTCCTGCTTGGAAGAATTAACGAGGATCGGGTGCATCATACATAGTTACAAAGCGTCACTCATGCTATCAACCACTCGACATGCTCGATTTGTATACACGCCGTCGTGAAATGGCTGGAATACTGCTGACAACATTCACTCACTCACTCACTCACTCTTTGAACAGCTGTTCCATAGACCCCCATTGGTATTCTAGGTAATGGGTCCAAGAACCCCTGCTTGTAGGGCCCGAATAATGAGGATCAGGTGGTTTGTATAATTACATTGTGTGTGATGGACAGACAGACGATGTGGATTGTTCATGCTGTCGCTGGATTGTCTGGCCCACGGTCTATGCGAAACACACTCTTACTGTTGGAAGCCGTGGAAACCCCAATTCACAGATAGTCGTGCTTTGTGATGTAATCACTATTTCCAGTATAAGTCCTTGTATTGCAACCAGTCTGTTAGACTTATGGATAAATCTAGACTGAACAAGCTTTAAACACTGCCAGAACTACTAAGCAATGTTTAGGGTTGAATTTATATGTACTTAGGCTTTACATGTTTTTTTAGTTGGTTTACGAGACCGACTGTCATAAATAACCTGAAATTATTAATCATTTATTCAGGTTTCATCGTAAAAATAAATCTTGTACTGTGAATCAATCAACTATCAATGACTATTGCTAGTTGTCATTTCTAACTCCTCTGTCCAGCAGTGACCGAACTTACAAGGGTTAATCCAAATATGTGTATATGTATGTTCTAATATAGTAGAACTATTTACAATATTGTTATTCCCATCAATCTCTGTAGAATCCATGAATCATTGTTATTTCTGTGAGGTATGATGTTGAGTGATGTAAATAATTAATCATTATTTATTTGTAAATTGTTATTTTCCATAATAAAATGTTTCAAATGTTTAGTCAAGGATCGCCTCCGTGGTCTAGTGCCCGGCGAGCTACTAATTGAAAAACAAACAAAGTTGCAATTAATACTGTCAAACAGGAGACAAGGTTCTATGTAACAATTGTATCAACTAACTTATTTGATTGAAGGTCATTTTCTCCAAATTGTCTTCGGCCATTCTCTCTGTGACCCACGCAGATTGCTGTCCAAGTTATGCCCCTTAGACATACCAGTAACCTTTAATCATGGGTTTAATACCTGTTATCCAGGTAATATTTCTAGGTTTGTCAGCCCCATACCCATGGGTTTCGCCAAAGTGGCAAATATGTAAGACCTGCATCCCTTTGCGCTTTCATTCCACATCTCCCACACTGACTGATTCTCATCCAAAGGCCCTTACACCACTGGGCCATCCCCCTTGACTAAACAAACCAGTGTTGTATATATAGAGTTTCGTAGTATAATAGAAGAAAGAGTTGATACAATCATGGACATGCTGTTTGTCTCCAGAAAATCAGTGCATAATTACAAGATGCCATCAGATACATATCTTTTTACAGCTGCTGCTTCTCGCCATGTAAAGGTTTTTCATTGTTATTATTAGTAGTAGTAACATGGTCCTGTGAATTACTGGGTTGTCTGGCCCAGTGTCGAGTATTTACAAGCCGAATGTTTATTGTATGCAATTTATATATTCGCACATTAATCACAAGGTCGATTTAGAGGAGTTAAGGTCCTGCGTACGGAACAAGCGTCAGGCTTTGAAACTATTTAGTCTATGAAGAGGGAGGATACATTGTCCAATAATTCTAGCGATAAGAAACCATCTAAGATATTCGTGGTCACTCCTTCAGATAAGCACTTCTTGTACAGTACCATGCTGTTAAAATCGTTTGATATGCATCCACTGCGAGCATATCACTTAGAATCTATATTTGAACGAGGCGCCAGCTCAACATTAGGCTTGAAACATGACTGGGATCCTGATTCGGTATACGGCTTCCGAGAAGAGCAGGGAGAGAACCAGTCAAGCTGCTAACGTCACGTGATGTTATGACAGTCTCGCGAGATTTATGACGTCGCCTTGACGACACTTTCACTACTGGCATCGCCATTGTTGAGGTTATACTGCTGTATTATTGCAACTTATCTGCTGCCTTTTGCCTTGTATTGTTCTCATCTCCGCTTGTGAAAACCATGAGCGCATACACCCAAGGTATTTCTTTGTTTCTGAATTGGCCATGTTGGCCCATTTCCTTGTTTTCTGTTTAAATTTCTTAATTAAATTTGAACTTGAAGTAAGCCGAGATCTAAATCTATTGAAAAATTATTCTAGTAGGCCTAGATTTCTACCACCAACCATTCACCATTTATATAAGATTGCATTTTTGTAGCCATTGATAACATGTCCACGTCTGAGTCTGACATGTGTCCGATATATACTTTCCTTATTCTTATTCTGAAAAGAAATGTTTGTCGTTTATATAAAGATTTTTTTCAGGTTAAATTGAGGCCATTTCATCCTTTTCAGTCTGTTGATAAAATAAATCATCTATTTTAAACGTTTCATTTGATTTATCTTTCCAATATCAAAATACTTGTTGGTTGTATCAGATTTAATTTCTAAGGCTGATAGTTCTAGGCATCGTTGTTTCTCTTCAAATACATACACTAAAAACCACTGGTGTGTTAATTTTGCCTTTTCATAACATAGATATCTGTAGCCCTTCTGTAACAACAGTAAAACTAGCTCAGGGTAATATTAACAACCCACTTTGTCAAAGGAGGATTGTGGTAGTTTTGGCATGACAACAGTCAAAACCCCAAGGTTCTTCACGGTGCTGTGCGTACATACCAAACGTAACCTTTCCACCTGGCTTACCTATTTTCCCCATAGATATTTATTTACTGATCCAATTCAGGCATTAGGTAAAAGTGAATTCTACTGCTGTGAATAATTCACAACAGGTGCATCTGGTTTATTGACGTTTAGTCCGGTATATACAGTTGTAAACATTTACGACATGTGACATTGGGGCTGCACATGAATGTTTGAAATCACATGAAACAATATTTTAAGCTGTATTATTGTAAAAACTTAAATTTACTCATTGTTAAAAAATACTCAAGGGAATAAAAACGTTGAATACCTAAAGAGAATTATCAATACCCAGGGTCAATGGTAACATGTGAGTAAATACACCATGGCTAAAACAGTATCTGGAACCCTGTGCTTTTATGAATCTTTCATAGCGTTTGTGACAATGACCAATCAATATCATACTCTAGAACAAAATCATTAATAGTGTAAATATGTTCGATCAAGTATTATTCTGTGAATGTACACCCTACGACCACCTAATACCGGAAAACAAATCAATTTCGCAATCATTATCAACCCGAACACTGACAACATTAAGACTAATTAAACTATTCATGTAACATTTGAAATGCATGTCAATTGTACGTCAATACTTAACAAACTTGTATAACGTTCCTACCAGGGTACCTACGAATACACTGAGTATATTTCCGCATACACGTACTGAACATTGAGAAAACCTTTCCTTCATATGCAATAATTTAGGTTGATGTAATGACTCTCTCTCTCCTGTGTGAAAAGAGCGCAATATTAATGCGTCTGGAAAAACACTGTATAAATCTTAACGATTCTGTTGCTAACACTTATTTTGCTAACGACAAATGTCATAAGGACAACCCATGAAGATCCAGGTTATAAAAGGTCTTCAGCAAACCATGCTTGTCGTAAGAGGAGACTAACAGGATCAGGTGGTATGTCATCGTATCCCAATTGCAATTGTCTGGTCCAGACTCGATTATTTGCAAACCGCCGTCATATAGCTGGAATATTGCTGAGTGCGGCGTTGAAACAACAAACAAACACACCATTAGGAAATGTTCATGATTTGATCATATTTGGATTGAAAGTACTTCCATAGCATCACCAAACTACAGACACACCCTTACAACGTTTTGGATGGCAATCAGTCAATGTCCTAGAAAATGTACCTATCTGAAACCCTGGCTACCGCTTATATACTTGCCTTTTCTGAACTGACAAGATGACAGTGATCGAATGGATCATCAGGATCACTTTAAATTTGTCTAAACGTAGTTTATATACTGTCCAAGTTGATCCTGTTGCATTTTTTCCCATTTAACACTCTCATTCTTTCTTTCCTGACAGCTCTTGACCTCGTGATCAGGTTCCCTTTGAACTTTGACATCTGGGCCCCTCCTCGCCAAGTGGGTGTCTTTGGGAATCAGTAATTTACTGTTATTGTAATGAATTACTATCACGTGATACCAAAACATATACTGCTGATTTGGAAAGTTATATTCATGAGCAGTATTAACCACGTATCATTACCACTAACGTCCTTATAATCATAATTATCCCCTTATTCATCCATTTCCAACAACTACCCTCTTCTTCCTGTACTCCTATCTTCTGTCTCTCTCTACATGTCCTTCTCTCCCCCCCTGTCAGCGTCCTACCGGGAGGTACATGACCATCCTTGAACCCCTGTCAGAACTTCCCGTCCCTTCCACCTCTATCCCCGACCCCGCCCCTCTCTCTGCCTCCGTCCTCCGTGATGTCCCTCACTTCGTCGATATCAACCTGGATGATGACGACACCCCGACCCAGTCCCCAGTTCGAGTCATCCTGTCACGTGTGTCTAGATTCTTGAGGAGAGTGTTCCGTGTCAAGATGGACGCTTAAAGTGACATCTTACTACCTCTTAGAACTTGTGTTAATCATTACCTTGGACCTTAAGAATATTAAAAAAAATAAGTGTTCTCTACATTTTGGACCTTCTGGACTTTTTTAATGTTTTGGATATTTTGATCATTTAGGACCATTTTGCTATTTTTGGACCCCGGAATAAATACTTTTTTAAATACTAAACCTTCAGTGTTTTTGGACTTTTTAGATACTTGGGCCATTTTGGATTACCTATAGAAATATGTTATGTGCTTTTGGCTCTTTCGGACACTTTTGGCTTTACACTTTCAAGATTGGACTTTATTAAATCATTATGATTCAATATTTATTGTTGTTTTGTTTTTTCCATTTAGCCGTTTCTCCTATAGTAACGTTGTTGCATACAATCTCCTTGGTTTGTCAGCCCCTTATACCCGTGTGCTTGTGGGTTTCACCATCTCTTGGCAGTATTTAAGGGCTTTTATGTATGTCAACCGCATTCAGCAGTATTTCAGCTACAGAGAGTCTATTGACTGCTATCGGGGTACAATGACAAGCGGTCATCCGAGACACTGACCACCTGATCCATGGACTAAGTCGCCTCGTACATTCTCGTACCAAGGAAATGGTTTGACGTTATTTCATGAAAACAGACATTAGCAAGGACAAAGACAATATATTTTAATGACAATCATTTAGAATAGAATATTTTGGGTGCTTACTCGTAATAGTTACACTTTACTACTACTTTTTTACACTTCGTTTTAGAATTCTCAATTTAACCTTTGCCTCCCACCCGCGCGACTGCATTAAAGCTGTCGCCAAGAGATGGATATATGTTTGACACGCACTCTAAAACTTCAACCAAACACAAATAGATGCTTACACGTTAGTTTTCAATTCTATAACACTTAAGTCACTACTTCTTTACTCCATTTAGTTTTAGAATTCTCAATTTTTCTTTTCTGTGCGACTTCTTTAAAGACGTTGCCAAGGGCACGTTGTACATAACACGCATTCTTGCTTCAACGAAACATAAATAAACGCTTACACGTTAGTTTTCAGTGAGAAACAACAACACTAGAGTTAATGGTGAACACGATTTAAACAAAAACATTTTTGATTGATTACAGTTCAAAAACATGTCGGAGTTTAACTGCACGGTATTGTATTGTCACGTAATTTAAGGGACGCAACTCGTGTTCTCTTGGCAGAATCGTATGTAAATAAAGGGACGCAACTGCATGCGTCTCATAGTAAGGCAAGCACCTCCCTAGGGTGTGAGTCTGGGTTTTGCGCCGCTTTTAGCAATATCACGGCGGGGAACACCAGGGTCCACTTGCACAAAGCGGTTCTATCGTTACAATTATTGTAAATCCTAAAGATCGCGATCTTACGCTTTGGCTTCAATCGCCACCCACTTGTACAAAGGGAATGTAGGCTAAGATCATTGCCAGACACAAACGAAACTTACAATTGGTCCGGACCAATCTTAAGTAGCTAAAATCGTTGCAGTTCCTCATTAAACTTGACAAAATGGCGTGCAAGACTTGGTCTGTTTCACATAAATAATCTGTTTTACGTTCAAACATTGCCTCTTTATTTTGTTAAACTTTATGATTCTAATCGACACTTTAACAACATTAAGAACGCACCACAGATTTAACGTTAGAAATATCGTTAATTGGGATAGTTAACCACATAATTATCGAGCCGAAAGCTAAAAGTACTATTTCCACCCGACTCAATTCTGAAAGAAGAGTGAAACAACATACCTTTTCGCTAATCACGGGAAGGATAAAAACCTAAGTATTGTCTGCAACCGATTTGTAACGTCCGTGACCTTTTGGAGAAATCAAGGGCAGCTAATCTTAGTTCATACTCTAATTGGGAGTGGTTTCCCTTTGTATAAGCCCGTAGAGTACAATCTACCTTGCCCAGTGTATTGATGTTGTAGAATCGCTGAGCTCCCCCTAAATCTAAAATCGAGTTGGACGGGTTATTAATCTGAATTTAAAAGAAATAAAATACAAGTATTCATCAAACAAGCAAATGCACATGATGAGACATTTGAAATGTTTGTGAAATATCCCATTAATAGCAAACGTAAATATCACACTTTAAAAAAATAATTATCAATATAATTAATATCCAGTGAATGCATGTTAAACAAATGCTTTCTCGAAACATTAATAATATTGATTATTCTTATTTCACTGCATTCTTGAAATTCTCCGTTTTTCTGTGTTTTGAAAAGGTAGGCATAACATCCTTTGTTATAGCAACGAAACGAAAACATGAAGGATATATTTAGGATTTTAAGAAAAGCTCCCTCAAATAGATGAGGACCGTACATTTACGTGGTATGTCAGGACATATTACTATTATTATTCATTTTAATGTTCATAATAATTATGTCACTAAATAAAGTATCATACTATGTACTCGTATTTCAATATTGTTGATAAAACACGATTAGGTATTTCTCTAGTTGCAATACAAAACAATTCTTAAATCACGACAGTATTAATGCCGACAAAAATATATGCCATCATTCCAGTAATCGTTTCCTTCAAATAATTGGGACCTTTCTTAATACTGTGCAAGATACGATGGGGGGCGGAGGGAGGTACATGTTTTTTATCGATACCGGTTCCACTTACTGTATGCGCAGCAGGTTATGCGTGTCTGCAGACAATTGTAGACAGGAGTCGAGTTTAAGATTATCGTATCTCCACCGTTGAAGATTTCGAACTTAGCTAAGATCGCGATCTTAAATCCAAACCGTCTTACAATCGCCCCGGGATCAGTTGGTGCAAGTGGAATAGGACAGTTGTATGGTGATTGTAAAGTGGATTGTAGGCGCCTAAGATCAATTGTAACTAAGATTGTTCTGTGCAAGTGGGCCGAGAAATGGGCTCCACACATTGTTCTCATGTCAGGAATAGAACCCGGGTCTTTGGCGTGACCCTGTTGCCACTAGCCTACTCCACTACGCCCTTCCCCTGGGACTGAGGCCGGAAAACAAAGGCATCTCCAAATGCAGGAGGAACCTTTAGTAGGCATGGTGTGAAAGGAAGATGCAAACGTTTGTATAAAATATTTCTTCTCCGACAAATAAACAACCAGGCTGTCCAAATTGTTATTGATTTTGCTCCAGCAAAGTGGCAGGGAAAAAACACTACAAGGTATATATGATTATATTGGAAGCTTGTTTGGTCGATATGTGGGTAACATCCCTGTGTTCATTCCGGGTGAGACGACGCCACCAGCACCTCCTGCTTTGAAGAATTAACAAGGATCGGGTGCATCATACATAGTTACAAAGCGTCACTCATGCTATCAACCACTCGACATGCTCGATTTGTATACACGCCGTCGTGAAATGGCTGGAATACTGCTGACAACATTCACTCACACACTCACTCACTCTTTGTACAGCTGTTCCATAGACCCCCATTGGTATTCTAGGTAATGGGTCCAAGAACCCCTGCTTGTAGGGCCCGAATAATGAGGATCAGGTGGTTTGTATAATTACATTGTGTGTGATGGACAGACAGACGATGTGGATTGTTCATGCTGTCGCTGGATTGTCTGGCCCACGGTCTATGCGAAACACACTCTTACTTTTGGAAGCCGTGGAAACCCCAATTCACAGATAGTCGTGCTTTGTGATGTAATCACTATTTCCAGTATAAGTCCTTGTATTGCAACCAGTCTGTTAGACTTAAGGATAAATCTAGACTGAACAAGCTTTAAACACTGCCAGAACTACTAAGCAATGTTTAGGGTTGAATTTATATGTACTTAGGCTTTACATGGTTTTTTAGTTGGTTTACGAGACCGACTGTCATAAATAACCTGAAATTATTTATCATTTATTCAGGTTTCATCATAAAAATAAATCTTGTACTGTGAATCAATCAACTATCAATGACTATTGCTAGTTTTCATTTCTAACTCCTCTGTCCAGCAGTGACCGACCTTACAAGGGTTAATCCAAAAATGTGTATATGTATGTTCTAATATAGTAGAACTATTAAGAATATTGTTATTCCCATCAATCTCTGTAGAATCCATGAATCATTGTTATTTCTGTGAGGTATGAAGCTATGTTGAGTAATGTAAATAATTAATCATTATTTATTTGTAAATTGTTATTTTCCATAATAAAATGTTTTAAAATATTCAATGAAGTGAGTGTGTAATTTAATCAACAAAACATGGTGTATGCTACAAATAATGCAATGATATCCGTCACTGTTACTGAATATTCTGAATGACATGAATATGTCTGGTTGTTTAGTCAAGGATCGCCTTCGTGGTCTAGTGGTAGAGTGTCTGCCCGGCGAGCGTAAGATCGGGGTTCGATCCCCGGCCATGTCATACCAAAAGATGTTAAAAGATGGTACTTGTTGTTAACCTGCCTGGCGTTCAGCATAAGGGACCATTTTAGGGACCATCACTTATCCTCACTTCTCCAGTATGTGCCATTGTCTCTCTCCTCACTGGCTTTTAAAGTGACAAGTCTTACTACTACTAATTGAAAAACAAACAAAGTTGCAATTAATACTGTCAAACAGGAGACAAGGTTCTATGTAACAATTGTATCAACTAACTTATTTGATTGAAGGTCATTTTCTCCAAATTGTCTTCGGCCATTCTTTCTGTGACCCACGCAGATTGCTGTCCAAGTTATGCCCCTTAGACATACCAGTAACCTTTAATCATGGGTTTAATCCCTGTTATCCAGGTAATATTTCTATGTTTGTCAGCCCTATACCCATGGGTTTCGCCAAAGTGGCAAATATGTAAGACCTGCATCCCTTTGCGCTTTCATTCCACATCTCCCACACTGACTGATTCTCATCCAAAGGCCCTTACACCACTGGGCCATCCCCCTTGACTAAACAAACCAGTGTTGTATATATAGAGTTTCGTAGTATAATAGAAGAAAGAGTTGATACAATCATGGACATGCTGTTTGTCTCCAGAAAATCAGTGCATAATTACAAGATGCCATCAGATACATATCTTTTTACAGCTGCTGCTTCTCGCCATGTAAAGGTTTTTCATTGTTATTATTATTAGTAGTAGTAACATGGTCCTGTGAATTACTGGGTTGTCTGGCCCAGTGTCGAGTATTTACAAGCCGAATGTATATTGTATGCAATTTTTATATTCGCACATTAATCACAAGGTCGATTTAGAGGAGTTAAGGTCCTGCGTACGGAACAAGCGTCAGGCTTTGAAACTATTTAGTCTATGATGAGGGAGGATGCATTGTCCCATAATTCTAGCGATAAGAAACCATTTAAGATATTCGTGGTCACTCCTTCAGATAAGCACTTCTTGTACAGTACCACGCTGTTAAAATCGTTTCATATGCATCCACTGCGAGCAAATCAGTTAGAATCTATATTTGAACGAGGCGCCAACTCAACATTACGCTTGAAACATGACTGGGATCCTGATTTGGCATACGACGTCCGAGTAGAGCAGGGAGAGAACCAGTCAAGCTGCTAACGTCACGTGATGCTATGACAGTCTCGCGAGATTTATGACGTCACCTTGACGACACTTTCACTACTGGCATCGCCATTGTTGAGGTTATACTGCTGTCATATTACAACTTATCTGCTGCTTTTTGCCTTGTCTTGTGCTCATCTCCGCTTGTGAAAACCATGAGCGCATACACCCAAGGTATTTCTTTGTTTCTGAATTAGCCATGTTGGCCCATTTCCTTGTTTTCTGATTAAATTTCTTAATTAAATTTGAAGTAAGCCGAGATCTAAATCTATTGAAAAATTATTCTAGTAGGCCTAGATTTCTACCACCAACCATTCACCATTTATATAAGATTGCATTTTTGTAGCCATTGATAACATGTCAACATCTGAGCCTGAAATATGTCCGATATATCTATATACTTTCCTTATTCTTATTCTGAAAAGAGACCATTTTTTACACTCAATGTCAAGTATCGAAAGAAGAAACTTCAAATATGACAATTTGTCTTATAATATAAAGATTTTTTTCAGGTTAAATTGAGACCATTTCATCCTTTTCAGTCTGTTGATAAAACAAATCATCTATTTTAAACGTTTCATTTGATTTATCTTTCCATTATCAAAATACTTGTCGGCCGTATCAGATATATTTTCTAAGGCTGATAGATCTAGGCATAGTTGTTTCTCTTCAAATACATAGTAAAAACCACTGGTGTGTTAATTTTGCCTTTTCATAACATAGATATCTGTAGCCCTTCTGTAACAACAGTAAAACTAGCTCAGGGTAATATTGAACAACTCACTTTGTCAATGAGGTGTGGTAGTTTTGTTTCAACAATATTATAACTTAAGGTTAAACCGTTCCAAATAAATATACTGAAGATTATTATCAGACTCAATCATAAATATTGTGAAGCTTTCAAGGTGCTAATGTGCAAGTGACTTCAAAGAGGGCATAGACACGACCGCTAGTCCGTTAGTTCGAGACAAGTGAAAATGGAAAGGGACTAGTTGTTTCTTTTATTCCAAAATCTTATTGCTTAATCAAACCACTATTCTGAACTACGGAATCGTTGGATATGACCAGTCTGTGGTGTCTATCCCTGCAAAGGCTTCCATCCCTATAGATAACACTAACATCAACATAGAAACTTTCCCTTCTGTCCATCATATGCATGAGATTCACTTACGAAGAAAGTAAACAAACATGTAATGTACAAATAGTAGAATTGTAAAACATAGTATAGCAGCGGCACAACCACTGGTTTCATTTTGAAATGATAAAAATAAGCTGCGTATTTAGATCTACGTAAAGTACGCAAAATGAGTTGCTTCCGAACAAATGGGCATGACAACAGTCAAAACCCCAAGGTTCTTCACGGTGCTGTGCGTAAATACCAAACGTAACCTTTCCACCTAGCGTACCTATTTTCCCCATAGATATTTATTTACTGATCTAATTCAAGCATCATGTAAAAGTGAATTCTACTGCCGTGAATAATTCACAACAGGTGCGTCTGGCTTATTGTCGTTAAGACAGATATATACAGTTGTAAACATTTACGACATGTGACATTGGGGCTGCACATGAATGTTTAAAATCATATGAAACAATATTTTAAGCTGAATTATTGTAAAAAATTAAATTTACTCGTTGGTTAAAAAATACTCAAGGGAATAAAAACATATTGAATACCTAAAGAGAATTATCAATACCCAGGGTCAATGGTAACATGTGAGTAAATACACCATGGCTAAAACAGTATCTGGAATCCTGTGCTTTTATGAATCTTTCATAGCGTTGTGACAATGACCAATCAATATCATAATATAGAACAAAATCATAAATAGTGTTAATATGTTCTATCAAGTATTATTCTGTGAATGTACACGTTACGACCACTTAATACCGGAAAACAAATCAATTTCGCAATCATTATCAACACGAACACTGAACATTTAGACTAATTAAACTTTTCATGTAACATGAAATGCATGCCAATTGTACGTCAATACTTAACAAACTTGTATAACGTTCCTACCAGGGTACCGAGGAATTGGCTTTAAGTATAAACGATGACTATACGCCACACACAGTGTAGTTTACATACACTAAGTATATTTCCGCATACAGGTACTGACCGTTGAGAAAACCTTTTCTTCATATACAATATATAGGTTGATGTAATGACTCTCTCTCTCTCTCCAGTGTGAAAAGGGCGCAATATTAATGCGTCTGGGAAAACTCTGTATATCTTCATGATTCTGTTGCTAACACTTATTTTGCTAACGACAAATGTCATAAGGACAACCCATGAAGATCCAGGTTAGAAAGGTCTTCAGCAAACCATACTTGTCGTAAGAGGCGACTAACAGGATCAGGTATCATCGTATCCCAATTGCGTGGATCGATGCTCATGATGTAAATCACTGGATTGCCTGGTCCAGACTCGATTATTTGCAAACCGCCGTCATATAGCTGGAATATTGCTGAGTGCGGCGTTGAAACAACAAACACACCATTAGGGAATTTTCATGATTTGAGCATATTTGGATTGAAAGTACTTCCATAGCATCACCCAACTACAGACACACCCTTACAACATTTTGGATGGCAATCAGTCAATGTCCTAGAAAATGTACCTATCTGAAACCCTGGCTTATATACTTGCCTTTTCTGAACTGATCGGTTGACAGTCATCGAATGGATCATCAAAACCACTATACATGCTATACATTTGTCTAAAAGTAGTTTATATACTGTCCAAGTTGATCCTGTTGCATTTATTCCCATTTAACACTCTCATTCTTTCTTTCCTGACAGCTCTTGACCTCGTGATCAGGTTCCCTTTGAACTTTGACATCTGGGCCCCTCCTCGCCAAGTGGGTTTCTTTGGGAATCAGTAATTTACTGTTATTGTAATGAATTACTAACACATGGTAGCAAAACATATACTACTGATTTGGAAAGTTCATGAATATTATTAACCACGTATCATTATCACTAACGTCCTTATAACATCATAATTATCCCCTTATTGATCCATTTCCAACAACTACCCTCTTCTTCCTGTACTCCTATCTTCTGTCTCTCTCTACATGTCCTTCTCTCCCTCCCTGTCAGCGTCCTACTGGGAGGTACATGACCATCCTTGAACCCCTGTCAGAACTTCCCGTCCCTTCCACCTCTATCCCCGACCCCGCCCCTCTCTCTGCCTCCGTCCTCCGTGATGCCCCTCACTTCGTCGATATCAACCTGGATGATGACGACACCCCGACCCAGTCCCCAGTTCGAGTCTTCCTGTCACGTGTGTCTGGATTCTTGAGGAGAGTGTTCCGTGTCAAGATGGACGCTTAAAGTGACATCTTACTACCTCTTAGAACTTGTGTTAATAATTACCTTGGACCTTAAGAATACTTTTTAAAAATAAATGCTATAGTGTTCTCTATATTTTGGACCTTTCCGACTTTTTTGATCATTTAGGACCATTTTGCTCATTTTGGACCCCGGAATAAATACTTTTTTAAATACTAAACCTTCAGTGTTTTTGGACTTTTTAGATACTTGGGCCATTTTGGATAACCTATAGAAATACGTTATGTGCTTTTGGCTCTTTCGGACACTTTTGGCTTTACACTTTAAAGATTGGACTTCATTAAATCATTATGATTTATTATTTATTGTTGTTTTGTTTTTTCCATTTAGCCGTTTTTCCTTTAGTTACGTTGTTGCATACAATCTCCTTGGTTTGTCGGCCCCTTATACCCGTGTGCTTGTGGGTTTCACCATCTCTTGGCAGTATGTAAGGGCTTTTATGTATGTCAACCGCATTCAGCAGTATTTCAGCTACAGCGAGTCTATTGACTGCTATCTGTGTACGATGACAAGCGGTCATCCGAGAAACTGACCATCTGGTCCATGGACTTAGTCGCCTCCTGCACAGGGACCAGTTCTAACCCGGAAACACACCTGGTCACCAAGGTGCTCACCTTGAGTATCCAAGATACGTTCAATTAGTAATTCTCTACGACTGCACTTACGATTTGTATATATATTTCGAAGCTTAATTATTTTTCTCTCAGCGGAACCAAATGCAGAAAAGGAACGGAAATGGTGTGGTTTTGCTATTTCATAAAAACAGACAATAGCAAGGCAAAAACAATCCCTCCCTCCTCTATCCCTGCCCCTCTCACTGCCTCCGTCCTCCGTGACGCCCCTCACTTCTTCGATATCAACCTGGATGATGATGACACCACGACCCAGTCCCCAGTTGGAGTCACGTGTGTCTGGATTCTTGAGGAGAGTGTTCCGTGTCAAGATTGACGCTTAGAGTGACATCTTGCTACCTCTTGGAACTTGTGTTAATAATTACCTTGGACCTTTAGAATACTTTTGAAAAACAAATATCGTGTTCTCTCCATTTTGGACCTTTCGGACATTCTAAAAATATTTGCACAATTTGATCATTTTGATATTTTGGACCTTGGAATAAATACGGTTTAAAAATTTAACCTTTTGTGTATGGGAAATACTTGATATATAAATAAACAAAGATAGATTGTGCTTTTGACCTTTATGACAATTTGTTTACATTTTGGCCATTTCGGACAAACATTCAACTTAATTATTCATAAATTAGTTATAACCATTAAAGATTGGCTTGATTTTCTTGCTCCATGTTTTTGTTGTAATATTACACACAAGCTTAGTTAATAATGACCCATTTGAGATCAAGGAAGGTGAGTTTCCAAGTCATTTACCCTACTTCAATGCCAGACTTGTTCTGGATCCTTGAGGAGTGTTTCGTGTCAAGATAGATGCTTGGAGTGACATCTTGGTACTTCTCGGAAGTTGCGTCATATAATGATCACATTGAATCATTAGAATACATTTAAATACAAAATAGTAATACATTGTGCTATAGGCATTTTGGACCCTTTCGAACATTTGCAGTTTTCACTTTTCACAAATGAACGTCATTTATACATTTTGACGTTTTAACTTTTGTCTTTACTTGATTAAATTGATTACCAACCAGTATGAATTATTAAAGATTTCTATATCCTTGTTTTTATCCCCCCGACATATAATGAGGGGGGATATAGCCATCAGTATGTCTGTCTGTCCGTCCGTCCGTCCGTCTGTAATCATTGTTTGTCCTCTCACAAAACTTGTCACACTTACCAATCAGGCTCAGTAGTAGTGCCTTTTGCTATTTAGAGATTTTGAGAATTTTGTATTTTTGTCGTTTCCATAGAAATATGATGAACTTAGGAAATTTGAGGGTACTGCTCTTGTCCGGAGCATATTTCCTAAACCGTACACCCTAGCTTCACAAAACTTAGTACACTTACCAATAAGGCTCAGTGGTAGTGCCTTTTGCTATTTAGAGATTTTTAGAATTTATATTTTTGTCGTTTCCATAGAAATATGATGAACTTAGGAAATTTGAGGGTACTGCTCTTGTCCGGAGCATATTTCCTAAACCGTACACCCTAGCTTCACAAAACTTAGTACACTTACCAATAAGGCTCAGTGGTAGTGCCTTTTGCTATTTAGAGATTTTTAGAATTTATATTTTTGTCGTTTCCATGGAAATGTGATGAACTTAGGAAATTTGAGGGTACTGCTCTTGTCCGGAGCATATTTCCTAAACCGTACAACCTAGCTTCACAAAACTTGGTACACTAACAATAGACTCAGTGGTAGTGCCTTTTGCTATTTAGGGATTTTACAATTTTATATTTTTGTCGTTTCCATGGAAATATGATGAACTTAGGAAATTTGAGGGTAGTGCTCCTGTCCGGGCCATATCTCCTGAACCATACAACTTAGCTTCTCAAAAGTTTTTACACCTATCAAGCAGGTTATGTAGTGGTGCCTTTGCTATTAACAGATGATTCTTTCTTCTTTTTTTCAATTTAAATTGAAAATTGATAGAGCATATCTTCTAAACCATGCGACAGTTTCACCAAACTTTATGCACATATCAATCATGTTCACTAGTAGTGCAGTTTGTTATTTATAGATTTTAATCTTTTTAATTTGTAGCCCCTGACATATAATTCTAAGGTGTACTATTTACTGATATCATATACTATATATGATGTGAGCTACATAACCTAGTACATTCTCTTTATGCCTTTGTGTCATGAGGTTACTACAGAGTACAGAGCTATTCATATGCGAATCTGCGAAGTTATTGTTATTACAATTTCATGAGATCATCAGAAAGTGAGCTACATGAACCAATATTTAATAACCTTCATTATATTTCTGGTTTTGGCATCAAGGAAAAAGATTGCCTTGCCAATCTAAGTACATTTGAAGGTACACACAGTTTACCGACATGCCATGTCGGGGGGATATGTCATCTTCGGATGACTCTTGTTTCTTATGTTATACATGTAACACAAGAGTTGACCTTAGTTTATCACCCATCTTGAAAAGCTTCTATGTGCAGAAAATGCTGACAACATTTATGTCATTGTCTATTGAGCTGCAGGGGCCATTCATGTTAGATTCATCACAACATAGTTATGGATTCAAAATGATTTTGGGCATCTCTCTAAACGAGAGAGAGAGAGAGAAAGAGAGAGAGAGAGATGTTCAGCAGTATTCCAGCTACAAGTATGTCAAAGCACATTGTAGACTATGAGAATAAGTTATGTTATAGTCAACTGTATAATATCTCTGAAGTTCATGACATGTGCCACAGAACACATGACTTTCAGCTGGGATTGTTATACAAATGTACTTGTCACTGCACTTTGATTATGGAGGAACCTATATTTAGGTCCATGGATCAGCAAACCATTTTTGTGCAAATAATTAACATTACACAAGTGATTTATTATTGCAGTATTTCCAAGTTGTCTGTTCCATCAAGTTTTACAAGGATCTCTGTTCAGTTGGAATAAATAGAAGTACAAAACACAATCACTTGAGAAGATATATTTCAGGCTGTTCTATGAAACATGATATAATATGAGGTGATGAATGGAAAATATCACAGACTGTATGGACGGGTTGCACAAATTGTATGGATGTAATAATAGTTTTTCTCTAATTACAGGAAGAAACAATCATAAATAATGGTGACATTTCTTATATCTATCTTACGTTACAGGATCATGTTAGATAGGTTGCAAACCATTGGAAAGTTTGTACTGTCCTCCTTAAACAATAAAGTTGCTGGATGAATTATCCACATGTAAAGCACTGATAGGATGTACAAAAGTTAGCAGATTTTTTAGGTAAAAGAATTTGTATCATGAGGAAAACATACATAATTACTTGACCAAAACTCACTTAATTCAGCATTTAGAAATGTATGTACATGCTGTATTATCATAATTCAGGGGTTTGACATGGTTTAATCCAGCTAGTCCACAATTTTGGATCAGTTGTATATGTAACATTATCAGATCTTTTTCTCCGATTCAAAGTTTGAACGTACAAAAAGAAGTATGCATGAGTTTTTGAGCCAATCAAATATCAGATTTCTAAAATGTTTTGGCCTTATTTCAGTCTTAATGTCAACACAATCCATTGTCAGTTGCAGTTTCTCTATGGTACATTACCACCTGCCCCTGATTTGGTAATACTGAACAAAAGAAAACCTTTACAAAAAACAGGAAAGCTCCCTCAGCAGTATACCCAAGTGCATGTAGAAGCCAATGATGCTCAGTGTGTAAAATATCTAAATATATAATGTGGAAATTGTTATTCTCGAATTTGAAACTGCACTTTACATTTGTTTTCAAGATCCTGTAATCTAATATTCTGCCCTGAATGCTTTGAATTTAGGCATCTCCATGGTGAATAACTGATGAGAAAATGTCAGATTTGAGGAACATTACTACATTTGGGTTAATAAGTATTAATCCTCTTTAAATTTTGCTAATATCATATTAACAGACAAGTGGTTGTGTTGAACAGTGTATAAACTATTTGTTCAACTCTTAAATTGTAATAGTCTAAGTCATGATTGCCGTCTACAATTACAACAAATTTCAAGAATTATTCCGTTAAATAGGAGAAGTAAAAAACAATGTTATCTTGTAATACATTCAAGATATCACTTACAATTTTGACCTGTTAACACTATACAGCTCCTAATCAGCTGAAGTGCTTATGAGATTATTTAGCTGATCATTCTCTCGTGGTAGTTGTGTAGTAAGTTCGTCCCCAAGTTTCCAGATCTTGATGTAGCCAAGTCCATCACCAGTTGCCAGGAGATGGCGCCTATGATCAAACAAAACTTACATTTTTTAAAATAATACAAAATAGTGCTCAAATGATACACCAAAGTCACCACATGACACATAATGCAATACATCGTAAAAAACACTATTTTTGTCTAAAAGTGCTTACAATAACAAACAATCAATACATGATCCAACTGAATGATTGGACTTAATATGATATCTGATAAAGCTCACATGCCAATCAATACCAATTTGAAAACTCTGATTCCAAGATAATAAAAACAATTAATGAAACGACATGTATAGATACAGACGGAGGTGGCGAACTAAGATATGGTCTTCGCTGGTGAATCATTTCAGCCTGTGTTGGTTAGCACTTAACTTAAAATTAGCCTGTGCCAAACAATAACAAAGTTATTCAAGGTTTTGGTCACTTAAGATGGTATTTAGCCAAAGGCTGTCATCTGTACTATTTTCTGATAAAACTGGCACAATTTAAAATTTATGAATCTATTGGAAATCCTTTTTTCTTAGGCAGGAGGCTAATAGTGTTTTAACACAGAAGTATATGACTAAGGGTATTAAACTACAGTACAGTAGCAGTGACAAACTAATTGTTCATTATTTGACATTATGCACAAATTTATTTGCATAAATTCAATTTACTGGCAACAGTTGCTTAACTGACAAAACCAGACAAATGAAGTTAAGTTTCAGGCTATGGACAAGTACTTACTGGTGAGCATTGAACTGTAAGCTGTACACAGATGCCTTCTTCATCCCTGCCTCCAGTTTCTGCAGCGGAGCTAGATGACCCTCTCGCAGGTCGTACACTAGCAGGCTGCCATTCTCACTGACAGTTGCCAGCACTGTTGGCCGGACAGGTGACCACTTGGCCCCAAATAGGTAGCCATCACCTGGTTCTATTGTGAGAATTGGCTGGTCCTAAAACAAGACAAATTTGGAAATTTGGAAATACCTTACAAATCAAAGTCAACCTTTTCACCTGAGATAGTGAAAAAGTAAATATGAACATACTTGCACATTTTTCTTGTGGCTTAGCACAAATAAATTTTTAAAAAGTGTGTTAAAGACAAATTACAGTGAGGAATATTTATAATATCTTCATAAAAAGTATTGTGTGGTTTAATAAACAGCCTTTCTGTGATACAAAACACTGTTATCGGACAGTCAATGTATTGTCTGACAATTCAAAGCACAGTCATTTTAGGGCTTTTCAACTTTGATTTGAATGATCCAGATGCTCTAAAATTTTAAGTTAATGCAGGGATGAGAATCTGATGCAGATCCGCGATTTTCTGCGAATTTTAGTGAACATAAATTTGTTAAATTCTGATAAACCCCCTATAAACACCCCCAAATTATGGACCACGCTCCATTGAAAAGACATTTCAGCTGAAAAGGAAAATATTCATTCTCATCCCTGTTAATGGTCCTTTATTATTGTAATTTACTAAGTACATAAGTTGCCATCGAATAAGTGGAAAATGAATATGGATTGTGATGTCACGGATCTATACATATATGCTTACATCTTAGGGTTCCAGATTCTAAAAGGAAGGATGCTATATAAATGTCTACCATTAAATCTTGTACATTTCAGGATGAAGATATCAGGATCTGTAAAAGGACCAATGATGAGCAGAAAGCAGGTGCCTTGGGATGAACCTGCATAGACAGTTGTCTGATATGGTTCTGTCTGATTTTCAATTTCAAATAAGTGTATGATTCAAAATAAAACTTCTCAACCCTGTGTAACAGGTTTTCCTGTGTTTGAAAAACCCATCAATTAGGAGATAAACCTACTGTGTTTTGAAATTTGATGTAGTCCCACTGTAGAGTAGATACCTCTTTATTTTAATTTTGAACCGAGCGGGACTACATCAAATTTCAAAACACAGTAGGTTTATCTCCATTCTACCATGACGGCAACAACGCTTTGAAAACGGTGCTCTCTTGCAACACGTAACAACACAGGTGCACATGTCCGCAATCTTAGAACATTCCGAAAAGTGGTCACAGGTAGTTAGTTATATATGTAACAATTATTACTAAACTTCAAGATTAAAAACACCATAGTCGTGAGTAGTTCATAATAAGTGTTCAAAACACATAGTTTTTCAAAAGAAGTTGACAAATACCACTCCAAACTTAGTCCAAAGAGAGATGTTTTAACTTCTACCAAACTGTTGTACGCTGTGAACTGACTGTCATTTTTTCAGAATTTTGCAGAGAGGTAATTTCTTGGAAATCGAACATGCCATCATTTCTATTGTAGGGGAGACGGGTTATAGAAAAAGGGTTTAAAATGCTAAACGAATATATTTCTACAACAAACTTTATGAATTAACATTCTATTATACATTTAACATGTGTAAGTGTTATTAGTTAGTTAGCAATCACCCCCAGTAAACAATAATAAAATCAAAATAAATGCCTCTCCACCCTGAACTTGGGTGTGGCTGAACTTGACCTACATCACGGTTACTTACACCTCACAGCTGTCAATGGCTGACAATCTTGTGTTTACATTCTCCGTAACGAGTTATAGAATGAAGCAAGATGACAACCCTGATCTATGATGTGGTGCAACTTTAACATGTAGATTATCTGGGATTGATCGAGCCTGCTGGTACATCCATATGACTACCAATGTGACTGAGTATGACTGAACAGCTGCTTTTTAGGCTGCAGACGAGCCGGATATTTTGAAACGTGGAATCTGCATGGTGTGACCTGTCAATTTCAAGATTTCACGGATCCAAAGCCAAATTGTGACAGAACTTAGACATTTGTGTCCCAGAAATAGTGGATCGTGTATGATTTTCTTAATTGTGCGTGTTCTGAAATGAACTTCATCAAGTTTAATAAGCTGTCACTTCAGTTGGGACATTGTTTTCGTGGACTTTCGAAGGGGAGTGTTTTCTGATGGACTTTCAAATCAACTCCTGTTAAATTCTAACGGTGGTGGTTGACGGAGATGGCAACGAATATCGATCAGAAAAAGGGTTGTAAACAACAATTTTTATGATGTTATATTTTACTTTCATTGTCGGTTGTTTCAATGAGGAAATAGCTTAAATTGTTCCGATTCTTGTCACCATAGAACAGTTTCTTAAACAAAAGAATGTGACCGCTGGTCCCTAGCCAAAAATGTGACTCAATATGAATGCGACACCCCCCTCCTCTCAAGCATCAGTGGATTTATATCTAAAGAAAATGTCCTCTGTCAGGCCTACAGGAGAATCATCACCATAATCCAACCTTACATCAATCCAATCACACACCAAATAGCACCGCTTATTAGCGCTGAGTAGAGCACTTCAGCTAAAGAAATACATGCGTGCTGGCTCGTGTCGGCCTTTGACGCAGTCACAAAGAACAGTGTTGCGTGGGTGGCGTCTGTCTGGACTTGCAGGTGTGATCAGTGATGACATAAGTGACAATTCACAGGATGTAATTAGTGTTTGAATGACATTGTTTATATACTTGTTACAAGAGCTGCTCAATAAACAGTGCTGTGGAATACATAGTTGTTTGTTTTCAGCTTATGTCTAAGCTGGTATTTCTGCTCTCCAAATGTTTTATTGCTGATATAAATGCAATATTTAATAATACGAGCAAAGACCACTCGCATCTTTCGCATTTAATTCACGCTCGCGTTAATTTCAAGATTTACAGTATGCATTGTATCGCTACAAAGATATGATAGGTATGATGACATCTCTACTCTGTACCTGAAGCATGTTGTACAGTCGGAGACATTGGTCCATGCCTGAGCTGAGGAAGGCATGTCTGTGATATGGGGAACAATCCACGGAGTACACAGGGCCATGGTGAGGGTTGAAGGTAAAGGTGACAGGAGATCGCAGAGGTACAGAGGAGATCACGTGACCTGCCAGAAATATTTGACATTAAGGAGTATTTAGTATGTACATAATAAATGATGACATCAGTATAATATTTAAAAAAAATTATTATCACATAATGTGTTTATAAGGTCACTTTCAAGAGACACCAAACGTGTTGACAGCTATTCAAGGTAATGTCTCAACACAAATGTTTTTAGAGCTGTGTGAATCTTTGGCAAATTGAACAAGAGTAATGAACAAGTTTAGGGTATATTATAATATTGCATACTTTAACTGTTAACAGTATACAACAGGGAAATTATTGATTAACTAAGTGGGAAATTAAGTCTTGGGCTTTTTGAGTGGAATGCAAACAAATTACCTTTGAACTACCTAGGATGGCAATTCATTGCTGTGATCACAATTAACATTCATTTCCTTTTCATTACATGAGTAAAAATTAAGGGAAATAAAGCATGAAATTCATGGGTTGTCGATTCAAATAGCTCCTCAATTTCGAACACTGCATAGTATTAGTTCAAGTAATATCTCACTTCCAGCAGGGTTTCCCTGTGCATGCATGGAACATTTGAACACACAACCACTCTCGGAACCAATGATGAACATGTCCTTGTCCTCCGCATTGTATGACAGACACGTCACTCCAATCTCCTTGTCGGCTCTCACAGACCGGGTCTTCATACTTCGGGGCAAACTCTGGGCCATTAACACAAATCTGTTGGATGTAAAAAATACCAGGAAATGTTCCAACTCCGCTATTAATGAGTTGACCCATGAAGATCTAGGTTAGAATAAGTCTTCAGCAACCAATGCTTCTCGTAAAAGGCGACTAAGGGGATCGGGTGGTCAAGGCTTGCTGACTTGGTTTGATGCATGTCATCGTGATTGATGGTCATGATGTCAATCACTGGATTGTCTGGTCCAGACTCGATTATTTACAGACTGCTGTCATACGACTATGATATTGCTGAGTGTGACATTAAACAACAAACAAACAATATAACTAGGTTGGATTCATGGGTAAATACTATTGGTTTAAACCAACTTGTCTGCAGCTCATTTCTGACAAATGGTTTATGTAAAATAACTAGAATTTTGGAGAAAACCTCCAGTCCCTAGTTATGCTAGTCTCAGACTAACTGACTAGTAGTCATGTCTATCCCTGTTGACACACACACACACACGTCGCTACATAAGTGCAATAATCTTGGACGTGACGTTCAACTCAATTTCACCTTACCTATCCATGTTGATCTGCAATATCCTTCAATCATATATTGGTGGAAAGCTAGTTACTACATCCATTTTCTACCATCATGTGTCAATCTGATGGTTCACATGCACTCATGTACTATTAGGATCAGTTTGGAAGGAATTACAAACATTTTGAAACCTGAGGAGTTAGAACAGAATATCATGTGAGTGGCATATTTACATGTAGTCAACTCACCCATCAACAAGTTTCAGTCTCTGCTTCTTTGAACTCATCGCCCAAACAAGAATCTTTCCATCACCACTGGCACTGATTATCTGTGTAGTGTAAATTTCAAAGTGTCACACCAATGTTACATACAGGCTATTAGATCCAGGGACATGCATGTTAGTGCTGCTTCAGGAGTGACAGAACATGTTTGGAGATGAGATCAACAAGCTGTCCCACTACACAACAGATTGGGTTGCTTGTGCCAGAGACCATCTACCAGTATATGGATTCTGCATGTGCATATTATATTCATACATAAGCGGGAGGTTCAAAAAGTAAATACTTCCACACAATTCTAACCAGGATCTTTACAGGAAAAAAGTATACTTATTTTTCCACGGGACTCTCCTAAAACAAATTCTCAGACAATTGTGAGACATCTGTAATGTCACTCTGGAATGCTATGACATTATAATACAATGGAAGACATCGTACGTTGCCATGAAAATTGAACCTACCATGCTAAAACAGTGCTACAAAAATTAGAATAAACAACAAAAAGTCGTGATATATTATGAGAATTAACATTTTAGTTTGATGAATTTGAGAAAAACATGTTTCTATTGATGATATGTACGACAAATTTATTGTTTGTAAACATTTTGAGACTTATTTCATCTGTTAATCATAAAATATCAGACCTGGTGCCTCCTACTCTTGGATGCAGGATCAGGAATCCACTTGACTTTAGTGACAGGTTCCCTGTGGGCATCGTCCCCAATGCCAGATGATGCCACGAGCAGGTCATCTTCCTTGCTCAGATCCCAAACCATAACCTCACCTTCAAACACAAATTACACATCAAGAAGGTGGTCTCTGATTGTTAACTGACACAATAACTGTGCACATGTAAACATTGCCATATCTAAAAAGCGATTCATTTGCTCAACCACTGTTTCCTGCATATATTAAGTGGCCATGTGTTGACACCTTACAAGGGGTGTTACCTTACTACTCCATACTGTCCAGCTTAATAATTCATAACCCTTTGAGACCAGACAATTTCTCCCTCACCATGTGTACCTAATCAGTCTCAATGACTGAAAGACACTGTTAACAGAGGAATATCAAGCAAAAACAATTAGCGCTAGTCTAGTCTTATGTACATGCAGGTCTCATAGAAGTGTACAGTACCCTTGTCATACAGAACATCATGTGGTGGTAGTTTTACCAAGGCATACATGTTTGACTCTTTGGTTCATTAAGAATAACTCATCACTATCCTTGCCCTTGGGCACCCCCTTACTATCCTGGATCTGTATTATAATCATGGTTAGGGGCGTGACCTTTACAAATACAAACTCAATCCTCTTCATTATTTCATTGTTTGTCAACATGCTAAGTATGATATGACCTGTAACATGACACAGATCTCACATTCATGAATCTTATATTGGATATGAGTATTATATGTACATTCTAAGTCTACATCTATTAAACGAAAGTTTCTATCCCCTGTAAATACTGCAAAAGTGTCAATACAATCCAGATTTTCAGGATAGTGTCGTAAAATCTTACCATTGAAGTTCCCTCCAGCTATCCATGCTGGGTTTTCAGGATGGAATTCAAGACACATGATACAGCAAGATGAATCAATGACAGTGTCTGGTTTGTTGACATTGAGAGATCGTTTGTCGAGGTTCCATGTGGCTACTGCTGCTTTGTGTGTACACCAGTCTTCATGATCATATCTCCCATAAGTAGCATGTCAAGGATATTGCATCAATTTTCATATACCAATAACAGGAAAACTTGACTTGAAAATGCTCATGACAAAGTTCAAAAGTAGCTTAAAGAGTTTACCACATTTAAAGAATGTAGTATTTACTAGTATGCAACTTTTACTGCATATTCAATGCACACAACACTAACATCTTAACACACAATAAACACATGTATCTTACAATACAAAACAAGATATCAACCTTAACAGGAAATTAACCCCAAAATACATTAAAGGATATGCTGCTGCTATGACTGAACCCGTACAATTCCATGACAATCCTGTGACTTGCAGCTGTAAGAAAATACAAGAAAATACTAATTCTGTCATATGACTATTTGAAAATTATGAATAGTTTTCTAGTGAACAAACATTTATGTTCAAAATAAACCAATTGCATATAAAAAAAACCCATCTATCCGTACAAATGAGTGCTATTGTTTCTAGATATTACTAGATATTAGTGTTATGATATGGAGTATTATTAACTGAGCTTACAAGACCGAACACAATTTGATTAGCCTTGGGCATCAGACTAGAGGCTAGAGTCATACACTGAATTGAGTCTGATGCCGCTTTCACCATTAGTCCTGTAATATCATGGGGGGGGGGGGGGGGGATATCAGCAATTGGCTTCACAGATTGTAACAGTGTGGGGAATTGAACCTGGGTCTTTAGCATGACAAGCAAATGCTTCATCCACTAGGCTACCACATCGCTTTGACACAAAATCAACAAGTCACCAAGCCTAACCACCTGATCCATCTTATTAGCTACAACCAGCAGGGAGCAGGCTGCCAGGGATCACCACAGATAAAAAATCAATTGGAAACAAATTTGACATTAGTCTAGTTACCTCTTCACCAAGAGCTATATGGCCAAGTGTGTGGACACAGGTGACCGAGGCTCCTTCATTTTCAGTGCTTGACAATAAATCTGAAACATCGATCAGTAATAACCTTGTAAATGTGAAATTATACATCTGTTTTTAAAAAGAGACAGTTTACCACAAGATACCAATCTCATTAAAATCAGATCCCAAGATGATGCTCAAGAGGTATCATATCAGAGTCAATGGTTGGTTATCAATGAGATTACATAAGAAACCTGAACTATCAGTATTCATTTAATAAATGGAAGTATAAATGTAAATGTGATACAAATACTGAAATTGACAAATCGTATGGAGAAAATGGTTCCTAACATAAATGTTTTGTACTCTTTTCAGGGGATATGACTATTCCTAAAATGTCAAATTTTAACCTACTATCAAAGGCATGACTTTTGAGGTTCTTGGACAGCGCTGTGACTATTAGAGGTTCCACTCTTTGGAGGAACTGATTCAATCTGTGTAAGTCAGTCTCAGCAAGGTTAAGTGCCCTTTCACGTCCATCATCTGTCTGTGTCTAATTAAAACGGAAGCCAAAAGTCAATTTTCTTGCATAAATGTCATGAATTGTAAATACAATCATAAAAAACAAAAAGCTGTCTTCAAAATGTAACATAAAAATCAAAGTAACATTTTCCAAAGTCTGAAAGTAAGAGGGGGTCTGGGGGTTCTTGAGGTTTTCTGCTATGGTATTTGAACCTAGGGACCCCCTAATTTTTTATTTTATGTCACTAAAACCCCTTGAATTTCATTTCAAATTTTCAAAACTGCTTTTCATAAACCTAATGATAAAATGTAGCGATATGCGTGCTGTAAGCAGTCTTAGATTTAAATAGAAAGACTACCGCAGAATACCTTAAGACCTTAGGATCACACTAAAAAGCATATCTAACTTTCTTATTTATAGAAAATCATCCCAATCGTTTATCTGATCTAACATGTTTGTCTAAACAACATAACAATTAACTCAAGTTATTCTTTTATGTACAGTCAGTCTAAAGACACCAATATCATATATCTTTTAATTTACCCCTTCATCATTTCTTTCTATGGACTGACATCCAACCTCTTCAATGAGCAAATCACTTGTTTGGCAGCTATTGTCAGCTACATGTCTGTGAACAGATGAGAAAGTCTTATAATGTTTATTCAAAAATCAAATACAGTTAATTACAATAGGCAAAGTGTAAAGTTAAGACTGACCAAAAAAGAAGAAGATTTTTTTCTTCTGAATGCCAATACTAACTGTAGAGTGTAACATTATTACCAGTATTAGTTCTAAATACTGTACCGTGTATCCTGGAACATCTTATTAAGGCAAGTCCAAGTATCCTAAGTGTTGACTATGACTCAACACTTTTCATTCAATAAAGCCAAAGGCATCCTAATCTCTAATGCAAGTTTCTTTGTTTCTTTTTTAATGCAACACTAAGCAATATGAAGGCAATCTGTAAATAATCGATTCTGGACCAGAAAATCCCGTGATTGACATCATAAGCATCAATCTATGCAAATTTGGCTGCGATGACATGCATCAACCAAGTCAGCGAGCCTGACCACCGGTTCCCCTTAGGCGCCTCTTTAGAAGCATGGGTTGCAGAAGTAGGCCCTACATGAAAATGTTCAATATATTAGCTGCTTGTACATGTCATACAGTTAACATTTTAAACTTAGTAGCAAAAGTAAAACATCAAAATAAATAAACGAAAAGAAACAGAGAGCACCCCCCTCCCCCCAAAATAACATTAGTCAAATTAATTTGACATGTATCTATACACATCAAATACTCTAGCCCAGTTTCTTAACTATTGGGCAGATTGGCAAGGACTAATAGGACTAGTGCCAATTTCTAACCCTGACAGGTTAGTTGTTTGTTCCAGAAATCTGGTTATTTTACATAACAAGTCTGAAATGAGCTGCATACTGTTGGATATGACCAATGGTGTTTATCCTTGCAAGTCTGACTACTTGATCTCCACAAATATTTGGCGCTTTCCACAAGCCAGGGACCAATTTTTCCCTGGAATAACTAGTCTGCCAACATGTCCTGAGGATGTGATAATTTGGTAATGACAGAATCTTGAATGAATATCCGACTAAAACTTTATATCGTCACTAATTTATCAGTGTTTCCAAAATAACCGCCTGTCCGATAGTCCAAGATGTTTCTGTCTATCTAGTGACTGACGTTCAGTGTTGAAAAGTTTCACGCCTGATAGTCGGGCTATATAAATTACCGAAGTACTCTAGTTTTAATTCAATGTAAGAGGTAAATTAACTGTAAATGTTAAAAACATTATTGATAATTAAAAATTCAATGAGTTACACTTACAGTTACTAAGTTGACAATCGTCCAGATTAATGTTATTTTAAGAAAACTAACATTAGACTGTAGTATTCTTATGTTTACTGTTTTCTTACTTTTGCTGGTTAGTCAACACAATTCTGGACTGGCAACATTATATCTGGTCTGACAACTTTGCACAGTTCATTAGTTGCCAGTCCGGTTGTCTGACTGAAATTTTAGTGAATTTTATACACTCATATTTTATGTCCGGAAAAGTGAAATGCCCATAGGCCATTTGTCTCTTACAGAATCCCTGACTGCACCTTTGTTTAGATGCCTTCAAAGACGAAAGTTCGAATTTGATATTCTCACTCAATCAGAAATCCATCTAAGTAATGAAACCTAGACAGAACGCTGAACGGGGAATACTTCGTGTAACTAGTAGGCCTATTTGTCAGTAACGATTAACAAAAACACGATCAACCCAATCTATTAGGACACATCAGTCATTGTAATGATTAATAATGACTTAGCCAACCGATCACACCTACCTTTCTTTTTTCCACGATGATTTGAATTCAACTGGATCAAGACTTTCGTCTGTAAACATGCTGATATAACCAATGTTTTCTTGACAGGTGCGACGCACAGACAGACAAATATGCGTCGTCTGCTTGACATGTCTGCACTTTACTTCCGGTTTATCTAAATAAATATTTACAACTTTCTTTTCAGATGAATTATGTTTTGATAGTATATTAAAATTGATCTGTGCTTATGCTGTACGAAAAAGGTTTTATGTGTTCTTAATAAAATGGTTTGATGAAATTCGTTGCGAAAATAATCCAATAAAACCCGTATTAGTATTTCCTCCGTTGCCCTTAGCATCAAACAAAATGGAGGATATACAAGCACGTGTGCAGAAAGCAGTTCATGAATCTGTTGCACGAATCGACAAAGAATGTCTGCGGAAAATGCAGGTACATAGACTTTTGTCTGTGAGACATAGTTATATGCCAGTTGACATGCAAACGCCAAAAAAAATCTTTATGACCTTTGAATGAAATTAAAGTGTGAGTGTAGTGGGCGTTTTCCAGTTCCCATTCCAATTTACAGATCATTTCCACGTTTACATCTGACATTGAACTGCAACACAGTTCTTTAACCAGTAATGTCAGAGTACATTATTTTAAACATGAAAAGAAGTAAAAATGTCGATGACATATCATTCTAGACTCTTGTGAGGGCAAACAAGATCTAGTCCATATAATTTGAAACTGACACTGAACGATCTGATGTTATTGAAGAACATGATGAAATCTCACATAGGCCTGACGACAGCATAATGATACCTAGAAAATTCAGCTGAGACATTAACAAACACAGATTTTTTTTGTGGGTAGTTTTACAGATAAAACTGCAGCAAACAAATTGTTATGTCATTGATTGAAAGAATCGAAGTGACTCATAGTTTAGGGTTCACAACACTTAGCAGCCATTATTATGTTCCATTCGAAACTGCTGTTTAAGTTGTAGGGCTATATTACACAATTCTTTTAATGCTAAAGCTCACATTTCGAAACAGAAAAACTAATAAAAACATGGATGTGTGTCAGGGATGAAAAGCCTATTTGCCTCTAAATGTACTTAAGTCATCTGACCATCACATCACTGTGGACACAAATTCATCCCCGGAATACATCAATATATACAGAAAGTAAGAGAGGGATATGGTCTGTGTCTAAATTTGATGATCAAAATCAACATAATAATTATTCCAGAAAGAATTGCTGATAGTTAGCTCCTGAATGTGATTACTGTCAAATCCCCCTTTTCTGATACAAACAATTTCAATTAGGAAGTTAGGTAACAGCAGTTATGTCAAATCTAGCCAATTTTTTGTCAATGTGGTATTGGTTTTCAATAATACTGACATTGGTACTCTGTAATTCTTATATTTCAATAGCTTGTTGGGTTTGAAATAACTTGCATACCCAATGTGAATACTACAAAACATCAAATAAATGTTTAATATAAAGCTTAATTCAGTCACTATATATAATCACAAACTTGATGACAAGTTCAGCACTCTAAGTATAATATAATAACAGCACTATAAGTATAATATAATAACAGCCTTTAAGCTTGACATACAGATTTTATCTTTTACAGGCAGACATGCATCGGTGTAGTGTGAAATGTTGTGAAAACACGAGTGCAGGACTTGATGAAACTCAAAATTGCCTTGAAAGATGTTCCATTCCTGTGAACAAAGCTCAGACCTATCTCCATAAAGAACTCCAAATGTTTCAGGTGAGCATTACTTTTGTGTCACAGAATCATTATCAACATGATCAACCAAGAAAAAGTGAGAATTCTAGGACAGAATGTTTTTCCCTGTTCTGCGCTCCAAGTGACTAACTAGTCCATCTTTGATATTTGTGTATTGTACTTTAACATCTTCCCTAGGCATGGCAGTTAACTTCTGTAAAAGTCAAGTTTCCACAAATCCTGCAATCGACTGAAATCCGCACAGCAGTTGCCAGTTGTTTATGAACCGGATGTTGATCATGTTGATTTTGATGGGATTTTGATTGGACTATACAAAGACTGTTTGTCCAGCCAAAATAGAACTCCATAATTCTACCTAGTTCGGCAAGGGTGGAAACTGGACTTTACAGTCAGATGACTTCTTTGCCTCGGGAAGATGACCCTTAATGACATAGGCTGTACATAATGCTTGCAAAAACCTTTTTACAGGCTGTTGTGATACAGCTGATATAACACAGACTTAGATATAAGGGAACTAACTGGTACTGTTTCAGGACCGTCTCCAGCGGTGTGCCATGGACTGCCAAGACAGAGTCCGAGACAAAGTAACGGCCAACACAACGGAGGCAGAGGCTAGCAAGTACCGATCAGAGCTAGAGGCGTGCGTTGTCAAATGTGGCAATGCCCACGTAGACATGCTCCCGGGCATGATGAAGAAAATACAGGGTGTTTTGAACAAAGGACAATATTGATATTGTATTAGCTTAGAGACATATATCATTTCATGTGTAAATATAGTTTGAATTGTGTGATGAATGAGTGACAATTAATCCGATGGTAGTAGAAGTGTTGTGAAGATAACTTAAGAAAGAGGATTGTTTGAATGCCAAGTAGAATGAAGGATTTCCAAACTTAGCCTTGAATTCATTCCCCTTGAACAAGTTCATTCATGAGGTGTATGAAGTCAAGGTGTATGAATTCAAAGCATGTTTAAGGTGTATGAATTTAAGGCCTATGAATTCAAGGCCTATTTAGGGTCTATGATTTTGAGGCCTATTTAAGGTTATGAATTCAAGGCCTATTCTATGTTTACAATCAAAAGATAGTAGTGCTTTTGGGGATGTCATGTAGGGGTAACAAACTTTGGAAGTTTACGTATGATTTCACCCATGAAACCAAGTCATTGTTTTGGACCCAAATTACTGGGTTATTGATTCAATCAGTATGAAGCAGAAGATTAATGATTGATAATATTAGAATGCAGTGTGTACCAAGTTTCGAAATAGTTCAAATGTTAACAAAGTCCCTAAAAGTAGGGATAAAATAAAAATAAAAGTTTATTCTCTGGCAGTAATTATTACATGATTACAGTAAGAAATTAGAGAATTTGTTCGGGTAAGTCATGATTCCGAATGCCCTGTGACGATCAAGAATGCATCAAGTGATCTTTTATTTGAGACCAGTCCACTGGTGTATTCAAAGACGGGTGGGGAGAGTAAGATATGGACCAATGACACAGAACACAAATACCTTTTTCTTTATTATTGAAATACCCCTGTGCACACTTTGATCCACCTCTGGGTGACATTACTACAATTTTCATAAGGCTGTTGTCAGGACCATCATCTTCAGTGACCATGGTAACATAGGCTGTGAAAGAAGTTAACAAGGTTACCTCCAGATTGATGAGTGAAGACTTTTTAAGCATGGACATATTTCATACTCAAGTGGTTGTTGAATTGAAGAAGTGTTGCTTCAGATAACATTGTAATCATCCCAGCATTTCTTGTTATTGTTTATAAATTTTCTTAATGGTGTATTTTATTCTGTCAACAGTTAACATTAAGCATTTACTGGGGGCACGGGTGGCCCAGTCGTCTAAGGCGCCGCGATTCACTGTGCAGAGTTGCGTCCCTTGGGCACGCCTGAAACCTATGATTGTGGGTTCGAATCCCGGTTTGCCCCGATTATGTTTCTAGGTTTGTCAGCACCATACCCGTGCTTGTGGGTTTCACCGAAGTGGTAAACGTCTGAGACCTGCATCTCTTTGGGCTTTCCTCCCACATTAAGCTGACACGCCGCGATATAACTCGAATATTGTTAAATGCGGCGTTAAACCCAACTCATTCACTAAGCATTTACTTAAATGTTTCTGTTACGTATTGAAGATAGCTCATGGTTTATCAATTTAGAGTTCATTACACACATTGAATGTTCCGAGTCAAATAAGGTCAATACAATCTCCTAATTTGATGCCTACATTTTGTGCCATATTATGTGGAAGGGATACATATGTATAACACCTAGTCTTGCTTAGTTGTTTTATTGTTAAAATATCACAGAAACTCAGGCCCGTGTATTTTTAGTCCTGATCTGTGGCCCCTCCCTCCACGCCACTAATGTTAAGGCTGTATAGCAAACAATAGAGTCCTTGTCATGGTTAATTTTACTGAGATCTGGGTATGAATTTGTACCATATATATATATTTACATGTATATCACTGCCAGTTGTGTATTTGAAGGAAGTGAGGAGAGTGTATAAAACAATTTTTATTTTTTGTATTTATAAACAAAGAAAAGGTGTTATTAAACTTAAAATAGAGAAGACAACCTGTCATGTTTCTGTTTTTATTTTCTGTTTTTCCTTCAACTTTACACTAGATTCAGAACAGTTTGAAATCGTTAGACTGAGATGGATATGATGGATTTATAACATGTTTGGAGGGCTGGTATGATTTTCTGAAGCGTTCATTGGTCTGACTGTAAGGTCCCTGCACCAGTGTGTATATTGACTATGAACTGGGAGGCCAAACCCATGTAATTTGGGATGTAAGATACAGTTACTACTGGTTGCCTGGATGGAAACTGGTGCTTGATGTGGACAGTCGTTATCATGGACATTATGACGCCCTAGTGCCAGAGGAACAGTCACAGCTGGGATGACCTGTGAATCAGACCTGGAGCATTGTCTCATATAACAAGATTGCTTCAATGCATATCACGAATGCCATCCACACCAACAAACTTCCACCTGTGACAAGAAGATGAGTGAGTGAGTATGGTTTTACGCCGCTTTTAGCAATATTCCAGCAATATCACAGCCCAGAAATGGGCTTCACACATTGTACCCATGTCGTGAATCAAACCTGGGTCTTCGGCGTGAGGAGCGAATGCTTTAACCATTAGGCTACCCGACCGCCCCCCACAAGAAGATGAAGAAATCGCTGGAAGTTTGGTAAAAGCATGGTCATACAGGCAAGGCATACAGGCAAGGCAAGGCAAGGCATACAGGCAAAGGCAAGGCATACAGGCAAGGCAAGGCATACAGGCAAAGGCAAGGCATACAGGCAAGGCAAGGCATACAGGCAAAGGCAATCATACAGGCAAGGTAACGCATACAGGCAAGGCATACAGGCAAAGGCAAGGCATACAGGCAAAGGCAAGGCATACAGGCAAGGTAACGCATACAGGCAAGGCATACAGGCAAAGGCAAGGCATACAGGCAAGGTAACGCATACAGGCAAGGCATACAGGCAAAGGCAAGGCATACAGGCAAGGTAACGCATACAGGCAAGGCATACAGGTAAGGCAAGGCATACAGGTAAGGCATACAGGTAAGGCAAGGCAAGGCATACAGGTAAGGCATGCAGGTAAGGCAATGCAAGGCATACAGGCAAGGCATGCCATACATGAAGGCAAGGCATTGCATACAGGCAAGGCAAGGCATGGCATACAGGCAAGGCATGGCATGGCAAGGCACACTGCCAACACATGGACAGCTTGTGGTTACATAAAAAACAGTATGAATCGGGGGCATATAGTTGTTCAACCGTCAACGACATGGCAGATAAATGATTGGTTGGTTGGTTTGTTGTTTAATGCCCCACTCAGCAATATTCCAGCTATATGACGGTCTGTACATAATCGAGTCTTGACCAGACAATCCAGTGATTAATATCATGAGCATCGATCCACGCAATTGGGATCAATGACATGCATCAACAAAGTCAGCGAGCCTGACCACCCGATCCCGTTAGTCGCCTTTTACGGCAAGCATGGGTTGCTGAAGACCTATTCTACCCCGGAATCTTCAGGGGTCGGCAGATAAATGAAATTATACGCCATGGCATGTACACAGCATTGGCACTAGGCGAATATGGCCTTACTATTTTCATTATTGAATAGCATTCATTCAATTACTATCAGTCAAACCCATTCCCACATGTGCCACAGGATTATACAAAGAGAAAACAAAATTGTCCCAGAAAATGCTTCCTAAAAATATTTTTGCTTCAGACTGAAAAAAATAAATTGTCTGCCACAAAAAAATATTTTGTTGCAAGAGCCTTCTAAAAATAAATAAATTGTAGACTCATGGTTTGAATGTGTACCTGGAAAAATGTCCATTCTTCATACCAAATCCAGAATATGAAACGGCCTGTCCCAAAGTCACTCGCTGGAGTGGTTGATATTGTGGGCCGAGACGTTGAATATAAATTCACCCACTGATCAGGCCGAGGTGTAAGAATCAGTATGTAGATATCGCTGGAAATAGCGCTAGAATGCATATGTGCCTGTTGTTTATTCAACAAACCAATGCTTGACAGACAAGTAAGCAGCAAAGAACACTTCTCAGACGTGAAATGTTGACGGTGCCCCTTTAAAGGGAAGTAACTCCACCTGATTTAATTGGGTTTGTATTGCATATAAAGCTGTTTATTGATTATTGAAACATGTACGACCTCGCTTACAGCACATAAAATCCATATTTGTTTCTTCCGAAAGCCATGTTTCATATATACAGTAAGTTTTGTTTGTTGTTTATCGCTGCACTCGTCAATATTCCAGCTATATGACGGCGGTCTGTAAATAATGGAGTCTGGACCAGACAATCCAGTGATTGACATCATGAGCATCGATCCACGCAATTGGGATACGATGACATGCATCAACAAAGTCAGCGAGCCTGATCACCCGATCCCGTTAGTCGCCTCTTACGACAAGCATGGGTTGCTGAGGACCTATTCTAACCCGGATCTTCACGGGTCTATAAATAGTAAGCGAGTAAGTGAGTTAATTATTTCAGTCAGCTCCCGTCAATATCAAGCAAAATCTAGCTCTACATCAAGGGGTGGCTGTGTTGAGGTACTAGGTCCGTCCCTAATAGGTGTGCCATAACCTATACTTGAGGTTTCGAATCCCAGATTCATTCTGATTCTAAATGTTTGGTTTGTCAGCACACTACTAGTGTGTTACACCAAAGGGTCCAGACTGGAATATTTACAGACATCCGTCATATAGCTGGAATATTGCTGAGTGCAGTGTTAAACAACAAACAAACAAAATAAATAGCAAGCCGTGGCCCTGCATCACTTTGGGCTCTCCTTCCACGTGGGTGTTGCGCTGAATGACCAAGAATACAAACCATGGAACCCAGCACTGGAATGGAACCCAGCACTCTATTGCTCTTCGTTACACCATGGAAATCGTGGATCAGGTGGTCACGTTTAGTGACTTTGCTGATTTCGTTTCATCGTACCCTATCGGCGTGGAATGATGCTCATGTTATCAATCACTGGTTTGTCTGACTCACGCTCAATTATTACATGACTTCGAATCTCTGATTCGCAGTTGTAATGGTCTTTGGTCTGTCAAAACCCGACCCGTGTTCTTGGGTTTCTCCCAAGTGGTCAGTGTCTTGGATCTGCATCACTTCCGGCTTTTCTCCCACATGAAGCTGAGATTTAACCGAATACAGTACAAAACGGTGTCAAACTTTAATCACTACCCCCACTCATCTATTACCGAGGGCAGAAGTTGTTGCAGGCTATACCGCGAATAACTGCATGTTTGAATATATTTCGAAGACAATTTGGCCATAACAACTAAAGATATAATTTGTAATAAACAACATAAACGGGTAGATTCGTTAAGATATTTCTTCTTACCTCGCTTGCCTTGTACTATTTCATATCAGATATACGTTCGAATTTCGGACTAAAACCACGGCTGCTTGTACCAGAGACCATGTACACTTAGAAATGAACACAAAATGCGTCCAGTGAATCGTTGTGTCCATCACACAGTACGTGACCTGTAGTCATTCAGTAAAAAGACCGCAGCGGACGTTGTTTTTCATTATAGTTCTCAAAACAATTGTACTTAAGGCGCGCGTGCTTAAAACGCAAGCATGCTGGGGTTGTGACCTCAGCCGTTAGGTGAAGGTTGTACTAGAAACTGTTCAGCGTAAAAACAATGTTCAAGTCGACCCGGAAAATCAAGTCGTGTTTGGAGAGCACCATGTATAGATATTGCTGGCGTTTGTCAGCGCAATACCCGTGTTAAAGTCTACGGCATCCATCACTTTGAGCTTCCTCACATCAAGCAAGCAGGAGCTATGTGAAATACCAGGGGTGGCTAACACGTTTTGAGCATAACTGCTATTAATGGATGGTACAACCTTACCATTTTTTATGTATTGAGTACAGTACGTTCCATGCTACAGGCTGCATTTGAACCAAATACACAACCAGGCAGCATATTTCTGCAGGCAACAAAGTGACTAGGTGAGGAAAATGTTGATAAAATGCAAACTGTGGTTACGAATGATATAGACGACACACTACACGTCACATAGCCAATACAGAAGGCGTGCCTCATGACAGAGTTGAGAACATTCTGAGGAATGAACTGTGCACGTCAGATGTTTCAGCACGCCTGACTCTCGATCAGGTTCATCCTCTCCCGTGAGAATGTACGTCGTTTTGAAGCAGTTGTTGAGCTATTTGTAGCCTAGATGAGTATTGGATCACCACTATCAACCACAGACTAAGCAACAGTCAAAGCAGTGGAAACCCCCAATGTCTCCTCAGGTTGTCTGGGATTCCAAAGCCGGTATCCTACTGAGGACTACCCCCCGAAAGGTCAGACCGTATATAGGCAATTTTATGCTGATCTGCTATAAAAGGCAACTGCATG